GGCTCGCCAAGGCCCAAGCACCGCTCAGCGGCGAGGGGGAGGGCGGTGGCGGCGGCGGCGAGGCGCGAGGCGGTGGCAGCGGTGGTGCGGACGGCGGGATTGACAGGGGAGGCGGCGGCCACGAGGGAGCGGCGGCGAGAGGGGGGCAGCGGCGAGGCGCGCCGGCGAGCGACAGCGAGGCGCCCGCGCCATCAGAGGGACGCCGCCGCGAGATGGAGGGCGGCGGTGACGGAGGCGAGGGTCGAGGCGGCGGCGGCGGCGGCGGCGGCGAGAACGGCGGCACCGAGTTTGTCTCGGTGAGCGGACCGGCGGCGGGAGGAGGAGCAGCGGCGGCGCTCTCGCTGTTGAGCGTGCTGTTTTGAGCCTGGGATCCCATGTCACTGCGACCGGCGTGCCCGGGAACGGAGATCGCGCGCGCGCCGCATTCACGACGCGCGCGCGATCTTCGCGGAGTCGGGTCCCCAGAGGGCAGCGGTCTTTTTGGCCGACGTCCAGCGGCGCGCAAGGAAGCAGGCGCAGCGCCGGCGGTGTCGCGCTGCATGGGCCAGCAGGGTGCAGTGGCGAGGGGCGGCGGGCTCGGACGTCCACCGAGTCGCTCCGCGCGCCAGGCGGAGCGCGCGCGCGGGCCAGGAAGCTCTCAGCAGGCTGAAGAGGACATCTGCGCTTATTGCGGGGCGGGACTCCACTTTGTATTCGGCACACGCCTCCCTACCGGTATAAATACCGGGGGAGGTATTTTCTTCTCAATAGCAAGGCTGTGAACTGCGCGCGCTGTGGTTATGTGCGACCGAGCTGCCGCAGTCCCTCCCAACCACTAAGTCGTTCCGACCTTCCTTCCACGGCAATGTCCGCGCAGCGAGGCACCTCCACGGCGGAGCGCCTCGCCGCCCTCCTCGCCCTCCTCGCCCTCGCCGTCACCTTCTCCACCTTCAACGCAGCCTCCTTTGGAAGCCTCCACTTCGGAGCCGAGATGGCGCACGGCCCGACTCTGGGCGACTCGCGGCCGCGCGAGCTCGTCGCCGAGCGTTTCGTGCTGCAGCAGCTCGCGCGCGCCTTCGTGCAGGAGCCGTGGCTGCTGCCCGCGTCGAGCGCCACCCGCACCGCCCGGCCACCGCCCGAGGGCGGCTGGCCCTTTCCGGTCGCGGACGAGGCGGAGGCGGCGGCGGGGCGTGCGTGGCTCGAGGCACAGGGCGGCGGCAGCTGGGGCGGAGACAGCTTTGCGACGGGCGGTGGTGCGTGGGCGGGCGGCGGCGTGGACGGCGGTGGGGAGGGTGGCGGGGCGGACTTATGGGCGGGTGACGGCGGAGGTGCGTGGGTCGAGGATGGTGGCGTGGGTGGCGGGCCGGAGGGCGGCGAAGCTGCTGCTGCGGAGGAGGAGGCGGAGGCGGAGGCGGAGGCGGAGGAGGAGGAGGAGGAGGAGGAGGGGCGGGGGGAGCTCGTGGCTGGTGTGGGCGTGCAGGTCGCTGTCGAGTACGTGGGGAGCAGGCCGCCACTGGAGGCGGGAGGCGGCGGAGGGCGCTACCTGACCCTGTGCGAGACGGACTGGGTCTGTGCGGCCGCGTGGGACGCCGCCGGACCCGACGCGCGCTTTGAACTGCTCCCCGCGCTGCCGCCGGATGGGACGCCGCCGCGCGCCGAGAACGGCTCACGCGCGGCGCCGCCTGCTGCGGGGGGAGGAGGGGGCGAGAGCGGGACCAACGGGACGGCTCTCGGCGGGACGGCTCTCGGCGGGGGCGGCTGGTTCGCGCTCCGCAGCGTGTCCAACGGCACGCCGCCCCAGGCGGCTCCTCGTCGAGAGGCGGTCCCTCACCCGGTCCCTCACCCGCCTCGTGCCCCTTGTGATAGGCAAGCTGCTCCAGGTGGCCCCCGCGTCCGACCCGGAGGCGTGGGTGGTGCGAGCGCGAGGCGAGCCCGCGGCGAGGAGCGGGCCGGCGCTGCTCGTGCTGCCGTCGGAGCTGTGGCGCACCGGCCCGCGCCGGTTGCGCAACCGCGGCAGCGGCGGCGCTCTCCTCAACTTTCGCGGCCTGAGCGATGGCATCTCGGTCCGCGCGCACGGCGACGAGGACTCGGCGGGAGGGTCCGAGGCGGCCTGCAGACGCGCCTCGCCGCGCACGCGATTCGAGCTGCGCCGGATCGCGTCGCCGCCGCCTCCTCCCCCGCCGCCGCGGACGGCTTCGACTTTGCCGCAGCCCGCCCCCGTCACCGCCGCGTCGGCCGTGCCGCTGCCGACGCCGCAACACGCGGCGCTCGATTCGCCGCCCCTCAACTCCTCTCTCGGGCCGTAACTCGGGCGGCGTGGTATGTGAGTGTTTCAGTGTGTCAGAGACGCACCGCGCTATATACGTTTTTCTCTCTCTACTCCTGTACTCGCAGGTCGCACACGCTGCTCTCTGACGTGCTGCGCACCTGAGTATTACTCTAAATGTAAATCGCGCGTCCCTCGGCGCGTCCGCGGTGCCGGTGGTTCTCGCTCGACACTCGAGTGGGGAGAGTCTCGTGTGAAAAAAACGCGCTCTGCGCCGCGGCGAGTAATGGACATCTCTACGCAAGACCAGTAGATCGTTGGGGTAGAGATAGTAGATTAAGACTGGAGATCCTAGCGGATCTCTCACACGGACACGCCCAAGTCTCGCCAGTAGATCCCTCCAGTCCGGTTCCCCATTCAAGACTAAAGATCGAAGATTGAGATTGTGGATTGCAGATCGCTCAGCAGCAACACGGGCCAAAATGTGGAGGTAGGAGATGGAGAATGCAGATTGTAGATCCTAGCGCCCAGCCATCCGCCCCAGATGTGAGATCGAAGATTGAAAATGGAGGTCGTAGATTGCTGCCGGCGGCGACAGTGGCCAAGTAGAAGATTGGAGATTGGAGATGAGAGATGGTCAGTGTGAATGAATCCATAGCGCATCTCCTTGAAGGTTTGAGCCCCCCTCCTCCCCCGGGTCCCCGAATCGAGATTGGAGATTGGAGATTGGAGATGGAGATCGGAGATCTGACTGAATCCGGCCTAAGATGACGACGTTGGAGATTGGAGATTGAAGATGGAGATCGGAGATCTGACTGGATCCCCGGCCTAAGATGACGACGCTGTGGATTAGAGAGTATTGGAGATGGGGAGATCGGAGCCCACCCACCCCCTAGTGGTGTTGATAGATGTTTTATAGATTTTTGTTTTTTCCTGTGGTCTGTGCGCGGACGGCCCGGGGAGCCTGCGGCGCCATTTTAATCTGCGCTCCTCTTCATGGCCTGCGGCGCCTGGCTTGAGCTTGGAAGTGTAAACGAGTCCGCCAGGGCGGTCTGCAAACACGGAGCGCGCTGCGCGCGCGGTCTACGGCGAAACTTTTTGCCTAGCTGGCAGCCCG